GCGAGGAGAACCGGAAGTGGGCTGCGGGCGACTTCCTGGGAGCCGGTGATGGGTTACTGGAGCCTGCCGGCAAAACAGACTGAAAACAGCTCAAGCAAAACAGCCGATTCCATCATCACTGTTCAAAGACACGGCTAACCCCCCCCCAATTTAGACTCATTGTCAGCAAAATCCTGTGGGAAAGCTGAATTGAGTTAACGAGCTCATTTTAGCCACTTACATGTTGAACGACTTGCGAAGCGAGTCGCCAAAATGTTCTGCCAAAACTCAACGCGAATGAAACCCAATGAATTTGTTATGTCGTGAATAAAAGAGCTAAAGATCGTTAAAAGACATATGTATATTTATGTTTATGTGTATAGCCAAATATATACAACAATTGCATAACCATTTTAGTTAAGTCACGTACAGTTATTAAACCCTATGATAGATCATGTCGAATTGTACATAACACCGGGGAGTTCACCAATAATACCACAAAAAACATTACATTTCTAGTTAATGTGTTTTCCAGTTAAAGGCAGAATAACTGATGACACAAGAGCAACACGGAGATCTCAAAAACCTCGAGGTCATCGCTGTGAATATTTAACAAGCATAATCTAACACGACAAAAAATGACACCGGAGTCAGTACTCATAACAAACCACAAACGTTCGTTCTTCGTGGAAATAATCAACAGAGCAAGATTCTTGAACCGAATACCTGTACAGGCGAATGTAAAAAGATCGATATACGCGACTATTACATAATAAAGGTACAGTAGTAGTCTTTTTTCCAAAGTGGAAGGTCGAATTAAGAGATAACTCCTTTGCAGCAATGCGTTAAACAGAGATGTTTATTTTTTCTAAATATGCTATTTGACAGGTTAAGAGGGATATGCGTTATAAAAATTAAAATGAAATGAGACTTACTTTACGGGTTAAAAGACGATTTTCTACCACTGCATATTTAAAACAACGACGTCCAACCCGGCCAATCCGCCACACATTACAGATCTACATAGCAATGCACTGCTACTTCAAGCATTGTACTAAAAAGACAAGCTTCGGGGGTTCGTCGTACAAGATCTGTCATCCCCACAAAATAACACGTTTTGTTAGACATCTTCTTACCTTTACGGGGACCAGGAATGGATGCTTGCGTTAATTTATTTTTATTTTGATATTTAATTGTTTTTGTTCTGGTTTCGAGTTTTTTTTTTTCCAGCTCTCCTCTGCTGTCAACAAAACAGCCTTCACTTCCGGGACAACCATTCCAGACCACGGAATTGCTTCCGGAATCAATCCGAAAAGAATCGCGTTAACAGTAACACCATTCCCCTCTTAATTATAATAATTGCTTACACTTATAATATAAGTTATATAGCGCTTTTCTGGACACTCCACTCAAAGCGCTTTAAAGGTAAAGGGACTCCCCTCCATCACCACCAATGTGCAGCATCCTCCTTGAATCCACCTCTTGAATCATTGCATGCGATGTAGAAAAGACATCCCTTCAAAACCAATATTCGTGATCTCGAAGTGCGTAGTGGCGTGGTCTACATACACTATAAACGTTTGCTGGCCATTTTTTTTAAATAATACATTTTATTTAGAAACAGCAGCCTATCACTCTTTACAAAGTCCAAGCTTGTCAAAATATTGCACATGACGTTTAAAGAGAATTTTTTTTTTATTCGTACATACACGACCAGTGCGTTGGCCTTAGGATATTTTTTAGTCTTAAATAATCACTCACTTTTTGTCAGGCTGCCCATTTGTAAAAGAAAGTAAAACCCCTTCAGTGGACGATCCCTCTTCCCAAACACAGACGCTTTTCACATAAGTACGACTGTGGCGACGGCAGTAAAGGTTTTTAAAAAGATGAAATTCTAACGAGTGACCGTTTTTGTGTGCCGGAATCGGTGTATTAACACAGTTTCGTTAAGAAAGGGTGGCAGCTGATACCTGTATGTTTAGCTCATGGGGTGTTGGATCAGGGGTACCCTGCTGGAGTCTGGGATGACGCCAGAAACAAAGAGACACTTATTCACCTGAAGTGAGTTCAACCAGCTCCCTGTCTCTCTCTGTGCTTCTGCTGCTCTCCTACAGCAATGTGTATCACAACAATAACGGCATACTTCATTTGCATTCTATGCTATGTGAGAGAATCCTTACTGCTAGTGGGTTTTTTTTTTTTAAAGAGAAGTGCCCCATTCAGAAAAGACTCTGTTTCTGCTGTTTCCCCGCCGGACTGTTTTTGTTGTGACGCCGAGTTCCGGCAGGTCGGTGAGGAAGTCAACATGTCGAGCTCGTATAGGAGCAGGTGAGTTCAGCGGCTGTAAAGGGGTCTCTTGCACGGAGCCCAGGCTGCTTTCGGGCTGTGACAGCGCTTGTGTAGACTCGGACTGTAGTAACCGGGGTGAAGCGTGCAGTTTCATAAATCGGGGGGCAACTTTGTCGTTTCTTTGGTGAAAATGGGAGGGTCCCTTCCTTTCAGAGCTTCTCTGTTCCGATGCATGCAGGGCAGCATGGGGGGGAGCTTTTCTGTCAGCCTGGTGGTTTATGGTTTCGGTGGTGTGTTCCGTATGACAGTAAGTCAAACCTGCAGCTCTCGGTGGTTTAAATAACCATTAGACTTACGTATTTGCCTGAAAACTGTAGGCGAATTTTAGCCGGAGAGTTAAGACTGAGAGTCTGCAATTTTACTTTGAAGAAGAAAGCTTTGAATTGCAAAGAGACAGCTGGTTGGAAAGCTACTCCTTCAATTGAGTTAGCGTGCAGGAATTTCACAAAAAACAAATCGATGATATAAGCCTGTGCATAGAGGGTGTCATTCGGGGTCTTCTCTTGAAAGAAAACTTGCGGATTATACTACATACTACAAGATACTACATACTGTACAAATTATAATGGGTTAAATTTTTATTAATTTCTACACACAGTTCAATTGTTTTTTTTTTCGTTGATCCATACTTTATAAAATGCCTTGGATGCCCTATTAACAGCACACGTTAATAATAGTTGTATAAAGTGTATACTGTTATAGTTTGTAAGCTGCAAATGTTTGCAGATTTCTTAAACATAAATTCGGAGGCTACATTCATATCAGATTGGACTTTTATTAAAGCCTTGGTTTTATAAATTTGCTAAATTGCGTATTCTTGTGATCTTTACTTTTTTCTTTGTGAAATAAACCTTAAAGCAAAGTTTAATTAAACTCCCGATTTAACGCTTGCTTGCTTTTTGACAATTTAACCTCTTAACCCTCTGTAATGGTTTAGAAGGAGGTCTCCGAGTGCTTTATTAACTTAGTCCCTAATGGCGGGAATGTTTATTTATTGGATTGAAGTAAGATTTGATTTAAAAGGTCGTTTTCATAAAAAGGACCGAAAAGGTATTAAAAACAACTAAAGGGTTTACTCGGTATATGTGACGTTGTAAGTATACTTATTTGAAACTACCTGCCAAACTTAGATTTAAGTTAATCTTTTTAGCATTCTGTGTCAGTTGTTTTGTTCTTTGACGATATAGTTGAAATGAAGCGCGGTCTCTAAGGTTTTCTACTTTGGGCTTGAACGAAGATCATATTGGGGGTCTCTCTTTCAGCGCTGTTGGTTTTAAGGTGTGAAACGCTGCTCACATTTTGCATGCTGCATGTGGCAGGAGCTTACTGTGGGGCAAAGAGAACTCGCCTCACGCTGAACTATGACTTCTGCTTTCGGTTGTTCCTGTGTTAGCGTGGATCCTGACGTTTGCTTTGGAAGGAGTCCAGAGCCTTAGACCTTAGGCTAGTGCAAGCAGTTCGACCATAAAGCGTTTTTTTTTCATTTCCTTTAACTAGCTCTGTCAAGGTCAGCCTGTCAGTCTTGTGAGAGAGGTGATAAAAACAATTTGCTGCGTTTTCTTTTTTTTTTCTTGCTCCTGTGGTGAGGCCCCCATTGTTGAGGATAAGCAGTTTCGAGGGCATTGAGATGTCAGCGTCCAAAGTCCAGGGAAGAAAGGCGTCAGTCCCTCTAGGCCAGGGATACAGAGGCTGTAGCCTGTCCTCCCAGGAGAGTAATGAAACCTGACCAGTGGACCCTGTCAGCACCCTGTCTCCCCTTACTGCAAGCTCAGCGCAATACCTCGCAGAAAGCAATTTGGCACTAAAATCAGTGTCTGGGGAACCATACTCTGGTTTACCAGATCCTTTATTAATGCATGGCCAAGGAGAATGTGCAGAAATAAAGAAGAGAAATAATATTTTTCCATTGTGCATGGCAAGGAGAAACCAAGGAGGTATTTAATGGTGTCTGGATAAGCCCCTGCTCTCAGATATTTTTGTAGGTTATTTTTTTAAAATTTAATGTAGAATGGAGCTACATTTAACAGCAATCAGGAATAGCCCTGATTTGACTATATAGTGTGCCTTAGAATATCATTAAGACCTTAACGTTGTATCATGGGTTTTGTTGTAAAGTCAACTACTGTGTCATCTGATGGTCTTAGTTGTATTTTTCATTTAATAGATATTTATCAAAGCAGTTGTTTGAAATAGCAGTTGTAACTGCTGTAGTGTGCGTTATTTCTCAAATAGTATAGTTCTCCTAGAGATGTCCCCTTTTGGGTTAAAGGGTAATTTGAATCAGGGCAAAGCTTTTAACACCCACAGTTTTTTTTTTTAACGGTTTTAGAAACGTTTTGTATATCCCACATAGGATGTGTTGAGCAAACATGTTCAGAACACACACAAACCAGCCCAGATGAAAGCTTACTGTGCAGTTAAAAGAGGAGATGGGGTTTTCTTCAACGTTGTTAACTAGAATAGTAAGGTACCGGATTTCTCGTTCTTTTTGGGTGTCCAGGATTCAGGAGTTCAGAGCTGTTCTGAGCGGAGAGAAGATCGACCTGGATGCGCTTCGCGAGCTGTGTTTTGGTGGTAAGCAGTTGGAACAGATGACCCTCCTGTAGTCCAGCTGTGTTGTACCAGATGTGCAGATTCACAATCAACACCACCTGTATAATCAGTTTTCAACCTGCCTGTCCTGACTCCAATCCTTGAGTCCTTGTTTCTTTTTTTACCTTTTTACTCTCCTGCTCCATTTCTGCTGTGATCTGCATGTGACACGACTCAAGAGCTTCGGGCTGGTTTAAAAGTAGCCCTCTTTAAGAGTAGATTGATGGTATGAACACTGTTTGACTGTCCAGTGGTTACAAAGGTGTCCTGTTTCCACTGTATTTTGTCTCTGTTTAACAGGGATCCCATTTGAAGGGGGCATTCAATCACTTTGCTGGAAGGTGAGTTTTTTTTTAATCTTCCCTTTTTAATTCCAGCCTTGTCACTCTCTAGTCGCCTGTCACTGTTTTTCAGCTGCCAAACTGTGAACAGAAATTCCTGTTTATCAACAAAAGGGCCTAAGCTGTCTTCACCACACCCTTGAGAAACAAGCTGGATTGCACAGTGTAGGACGTCTCTGTCCTGTGATCTTGTCAGGCTGACATATGGTGAATGAGTGAAACTTCTGAACTGTTGCATGTTAGACCTCTCACATGTAAATCCCCACTGTTAGAATGATGTTCTGTAAGTGTGGCTTCTTTTCTTCGAAACAGGAGATGGTTCCAAGCAGAGACTTTTGACCAATATACTCCTTGTTCCCTTTTGTTTCCCTGTGTGCATTGTATCTGTGCTGAAGGGGCAGTGTCCAGTCTGCATGCATAAACGTCATTGTAAATCCCCCCTTTCCTCAACGTATCTCAGTGTGTGACAGGCTAATCTTGTTCTTTTCAGATCCTGTTAAATTATCTCCCCCTGGAGCAGAAGCTATGGGACTCCTTCCTGAAGAAGCAGAGGTAAAGTCTCTACCTCCTAAAGCAAGCGAGACCAGCCCTGTTCCTGGAAATACACAATCTAGCACGTTTTAATGAGTCATCCTCATATTGTTAGTTTAAAAACTTTTGTAGCAATTACAAATCATCTGCTCAATTGGTCTAAACGAAAAGTTGAGTAGTTTAGAGATTGTTAAAACGAAATGAGCCATATGGATCTCCCATTTGTCAGCATTATATTATGTATTAATTTCCAATGAACACCCCACAGTTCTCAGGGATCACTTGTGCGCCTTTCCCTGAATTAGTTGAATCAATTAATTTTCTAGATTGATCACAGCTTACATGTCCTGTAGTAAGTAAGACCTACTGGATTGCAGGTCTGGAGCATACAGTACATGTGTGATTGCAAGTGTGAACTGTCACACTGTCACCTCAAGCAGCTTTGCACAGTTGTGCACATTCATGTTCCTGATTGTTCCAGGCGTGACATTATGTTTTGGCGTTGGATGATGTGACCTTGAGTTTATATACAGAATATCCATTTCTTGTCATTTCTGTCGAAACACATTTGTGTTATTGTTTGCATTTTGTGAAAGTGCTCTGTTACTGTTGTACATGTGCTTTTTTTCTCACTCTTTTTTGTGATTCCTTCCTCCATTTGTGCATGCCTGGTATCACTCTGCTTCTGGTTTACTCTGTTAAAGGCTGTTAGATTCTTCTGCACTTTCTTTTCCCATTTCTCTGCTCTTCTCTGTAGGTGTGTATCAGTTTCTCTTCTGTCTTAACTGAGACTATGCTTCTCTGAAGTTACAGCTCTTTTGCCTTCAAGTCAGCTCAATTGCAAAATGATGACACATGCAGGACGCAGCATGACACTGCTATAAAGCACAGATCTGAGAGGCAGCTGTTGCAAAGCGTGGTCACAGTGTCATTGAGTTGCACTCCTGGACAGGAAAAAATGCTCTTCAGATGGTTTCTCCTTGTCTTTTTCTGAGAACATCAGAAAGACTTCAAGTAACTGCTTATTTGAACAAGTGTCCTGGAAGGACCTGTGACTTCACTCTACTATAAAGTTGCAGTCTAGAAATTTAGGCTATACATGTGTCTATAGGTTATAAATTTGCCAGATAGAAAGTGAAAAAGTATAATATTTAAGGAACTGAAAGGTTGAAAGATCTGGAATCACAGGGACTGGGAAAGGCCATTAGTGCACAAAACCGATGATAAACTCAGTTGTGTTTTATTTCGATTAGGAGAATATTTGGAACTAGTTGAGCTCTGTGTGCAATTGAAAGAATAAAAACAAGGGGAATTCATGTTATCTGTACACAACAGTTTACTGTCCGTGTTAAATGTTGCACGTTGCCTTGTGACAGTCGAGAGGAGATAGTGTTCCCAGTTAACACATTCACATTTTGAAACAGTTTATGAATCTTGGAACACTTTCTCAGCTGAGTTACATTTATTGTAACCCGGTACAGGGGCATACAGATGTAGTTGTCTTCCAAGAAGCGCTCTGTGTAGGACTGAAAGTGGAGTCTGTTCCACTGATCAGTGTCAGACACTCTTCATCTCTGGTGTTGCTAAAAACATCCAGTCATGTGCAGTTATGAACTTCATCAGATTTGGGGTTACAGTGCCTAAAATCCCAAGACCGATGGCAGTTTTTATAAAGTTGTTTGCTCCTTCATATATTGTTCATCAGAAAAAAACTCGTCACTCTACTTATTCATGTGTGTTTTTAGAAAATATAGGTTTTGAATAGAGAATAAATGTGTGACTTCGACTGGTGGGTAAGTCAGCTGTTCTCCTTCTAGTGCTGGGGAACACTGTATCAGTTTGTTCTTGTTCCTGCTGAGTTCCTGATCACTGATTGCTGGTCATTGATTTTAGTTTCCTGTTTGGGGCAGATTTTCAAATCGCTACAGAACTCAGCTCGTATTGATTGGTGGCAGCATGACTCCCTGACGCCATATTGAACAGGCCCTGTGACCTTGCTTCCTGCACTTTCTGCCGGCTCATCCTGACGTGACAGCGTGCTTCCTAGATAACGCACATCCTCCTGCTGCTTGTACAGCAACAGCTTTCGTGGGAGATGAGGATGTGGCAGATGAGCTGTGGATGACTAGTGAGCCCCAGACTTGAGCCCCATTGTACAGTTGTGGGATAGTTTAGGTGGATATGTGTTGCCTAGGGATCAGAGGCAACTGAACAGGCACAGGTGCACAGCAGGTTTCGAATATGTACAGCTTCCATTACTTCAGTCAATGGTCAAATTGATGGCCCATGGCTGGTGACGCCACTTGCCCATGTGCAGGCAGGATAATCGGCACCAGAGATCCAGCCTGTGGCCATGTGGGACGTGTCCTGTAAAAGGATGACTGGCTCTAATATGGGAGGGCCAGAGGGTACAGGGGTTCCAAATGTGACTCAAAACTTTGATACACCCATATTTCTGCACGGGGTGGGTATGTAACAAAAACAATGTGGGGGGAAAAATAAAGTAAAATCTCATGGTGTACTATTCTTTTTTTCTAGGGAATTATACACTCAGTTTCTGAAGGAGATGATCATTCAACCTGGAATTGCGAAAGCAAACCTAGGACTGTCCAGAGAAGACGTCACACTAGAAGATCATGTATGTGTCTTGTTCTGCTTCAGTCTTCCCTTCGTTTGTGTTGTGGGAAGGGTCATTCTACTTTGTACAAGACAGCTCAAATTATGTGGGCAGGATCAGAACCTTTTCCGGATGGCCAGGTGTTCATTTCCCAGCCCCGACTCTCTCCCAACCGCGCTCCTTGAAACTGACAACGCCAAGGGTTTCTGTGCTGCTGCTGTGCTTTCTGTTTCTCAGCACAGTCCTCCTTTCCAGACACCGATTAGACCATCTCGCTTCGGGTTTCGCAGCTGTTTAGGAGGTGTGGTAACAGATCAGTGACAGATCCCTTCACAGTTTCATTCTCATTAAAACCAATGTTCTTGTCATCAGGAAGCCGTTCATGTTCTGTTCATTTGTTCCTCCACTTTAAAGCACTTTGAGAAATTCAGTTCAAGCTTTACTATCCCACTGGGGAAATGTGTTGGGAAATCCTGAGGGGAAAGTTATAATTATATAAAATAAATGTACTGTTAACTTTTTCCACCAAACGTTCAGACATGAATGTCTTGGCCACTGGTGAATTTGGACGCTTCGATTCTATTCTTCTCTTCCTCCAGTTTGCAGTGGTATAATATCTCTCAGAGAAGTCCCATTTTCTGCTTTCTCTGGACTAGTCTGCTGAACATCTGCTTTGCCACGCAGCCTCTCAAACTACTGGGCTGCCTTCAATAATTAGAAACCTGACGATCTTTATTACTTAAGGAGTGCATGCTCACATCTTTCGCTGGTCTTGTATTCATTTTGTGAGTGCCAGTTTTAACAGATGTCAACCAACGTATTTTGGTGGTGCAGATATGAAATACCTGGGTTTTTTGTTAAATCTCATGGCGTGAGCTCAGTATTTTCTCATCCTAGTCAAGCAGTCAGCTCACTTTGCTTAAAATGCAAATATTTAAACTTGCCCAATAAACTATTGATGTAAAACTTAGACTGTTAAGCTTTTGTTGTGCATCAGTAAATAACGCATTACATTGTTGCAGACACTTATCCAAGAAAATCAATTCTTTCAGTCAGATTGCAATGGCTCATGGTTTGTGACTAACAGAGTTCAGGTTAAAGGATGCTTTTATCATCTCTGTGGATTTAACCTGCTTGAAGTAAGTGATTTTTGCAAGTGTCCGTCAGTTTATTACTGCTTTAAGCGCAAATAGTGAAAAGTTAACCTTAGCTGGATTCTATGCTTATATCCGAGTTGCCAAGTGTGGCGTTTTGTTTCCTGATTGGGAAAGAACTGTAGTATTGCTGATGAGAAATGATCTGTCAGAGTGCAACCTGTTGAAAACCGGATCTCAGTGGGTTTCTGTTTTTGTTTCTCTTGTCTTCAGCCACTGAACCCAAACCCAGAGAGTCGCTGGAACAACTACTTCAAGGATAACGAGGTGCTCCTGCAGATTGACAAAGACGTGAGGTGTGTAATGCTGGGCTGGCTGATGTTCACGTTCAAGGTCTCCTGTTGCTCAGTCGCTTGCCGTTTGGCCCTGGTGCATGATGTGGGGCTCAGGAAGAGTCCAGTACCAGCTGTAACCGTCTGCCTGCTCCACAGACGGCTCTATCCAGACATGGCGTTTTTCCAGCGGCCCACCGACTACCCCTGCCTGCTCATCCTCGACCCCCAGAACGAGTACGAGACCCTGCGGCGGCGGGTGGAGCAGACCACCCTGAAGGCCCAGACAGTGGCCAAGAACCGGAGTGGCGTGACCAACGTGAGTGCGCGGCCCCCCGCCGGCGTGTCCCGGCGCTGCGCCCGGGAGCGATGTCGAATATCGATCGATATCTTTCAGTTCTTCTGCACGCACATGCTCGTTATTTGTGAAAGGAAATAGATCAGTTTGTCCAAAATGTATCAATATAGTAACCATCCGCACCGCGTCACTGAGCACTGAAAGTGAAACATTTGTCACTAATTTCCTTTACTCCTGCTAGGTCTAATAAGTGCACAGCGGAGATTTTTTTATTGGGAAACATTGACTTGAAAAGCTCATAACTCTTTATCTTACATTAATTCGCTATCTTCAGTTTATGGGGTAATTTAAGTGTTGTTGCCCAAGGAAATCTCTGGAATTATTATCTAAATGCCCCAAGATTTTTTAACAGGGTTGTTTCAGTAGTGTTGGAATGCCAGCACTCTCCTCTCTGCAAAACCTAAAACTGGGGAAGAAACAAGGGATTGTATTTGTCTTCTCCAGAAGGAGGCCTTCTTAACTGTCGAGATTTAAAGGGGGCTGGCGAGTTTTGACTTTATGAATGTGAAAATGATGTGTATTTGCATGTCACCTGACTGTCACATGATCCAATGCTGTGTCACATGACATGTCACCTGACTGTCGCCTGAGCCAATGGCATGCCACCTGGCTGTCACATGATCCAATGTGACTGTGCATTGACTGGGTATTGACTGGCTTACCTGGATGTGCACCATGTGTTTTTTGGCAGGTGAGCTCCCCAGGGAAGTCGCAGAACCTTTACCCCTCTAATGAATATGAGGTGCTGCCCAATGGCTGTGAGGCCCACTGGGAGGTGGTGGAGCGCATCCTCTTCATCTACGCTAAGCTGAACCCCGGTATCGCCTATGTTCAAGGCATGAACGAGATTGTCGGGCCCATCTACTACACCTTCGCCACCGACCCCAACAGCGAATGGAAAGGTGAGAGAAGTTTCTTCCCAGCTCAAAACAGTGTTGATCTCAGTCTCTGAATGTAATCATGCGTTTAATCTTAGCTGGTCACTTAATCACTGATCTCACAACCTGAGGATACCTCCTGAACAACTGAAGAGGCATCACCTAAAGTGCTGTGTGTTTTAAAGGATTACAGACCGGATCTGATGCTTACAACTAATCTATTCTGTGTTGTAATTTTAAAAACATTGAATCCTTTTCATTGGTTTAAACTTTGTCAGTGGTATGATCAGGACATTTTTATCATGACTGCTGTAATTATAAGATCTGAGGTGAACCTGGAGCAGTTCTTCTCGCTGTGTATTGTAACCATCTAAGTAATAGTTTGCATCTGGTCAATTTTCTGTCTTCAGTCGTTCATGAGGCTTAAATTGAGTGATCCTGCAGCACTGCTGCCCTCTACAGGTTTATGGCAGAAGTGGAGTTTATGTCATAGCTGTGGAATGCTGGGCTCAACACTCAAGCTTCTCATTGTGGGGACTTTCTTGCAGAAAGGAATATCATAATTTCAGTTGATTGACAGTTGGATAGCTGGTTGAATCCTGTAATAATGGCAACATATCCTTTAGCTTCTTTGGTTTTTGCTAAACATGTCTCTTAGATCATCAGCTCTTTGTCCCAACACAAAAGCAATCAAGAGGCCGTGAACGTTTTAGGACTTGTCTTCTTTTTACAGTATAACCCCCTGCACTAAGTGCAAGGCTGACGACTGCTGGCTCTTGCTCTGTTCTTGTTTGGTTTGCTTGTTTAGAGCTCGTAGCACAGGGAGAGATAAAGACACATCTGCCTGCATGGTTAGTTTGGTGCAGATCAGTCCGGAGAGAGAGAGAGAGCTCGTGGCTTCTGCCCAGTGCTTTGTGGCTCAGTCCCTGCCGCCGTTCCGTGTGTTTCAGAGCACGCAGAGGCTGACACCTTCTTCTGTTTCACCAACCTGATGTCCGAGAACCGAGACAACTTCATCAAGAGCCTGGACGACTCTCAGTGCGGGATCTCCTACAAAATGGAGAGCGTCTACTCCACGCTCAAGGAGAAGGACATGGAGCTATACCTCAAGCTTGTGAGCCACTTCATCTGCCTTTCCCTTGTACTCTGTCAGAGCAGCGCGCGCCGGCTCGGGTTCTGTCACACTGCACTTGTTCAAGAGGAACTGCAAGGCTGTTTTTATATTTCGGGGTTAGAAGGAATCAGCATTGATGAGTGCTTTTTTAAACCACAGCAGAAGTACTATTTACACTGTAACTTGTAAAACTTCCAATTGACATCACAAAATAGATATTTCCAGGCGTGCACAGCGCCATATTCTGCACTTCACAACGAGGCAACGAATCTTCCGGTGAGGTGAAGCGGCCCTATGACGCTGTAATTAGCAGGCATGTGACTACAGCTCTTTTAATCCAATAGAAACGCTGCTGTCAACTCCGGTTACCTCTGCACGTAAATCGCATTGCAACATTTCTGCAGTGAAATGTCTGCTGCTCAACCTGTACTTATTCGCTCGTACGTCATTACAGGGACTAGTGAGCAGGAAGGGCCACTTCACGACACAGCTGGTGGAAACCGTGGGGAGACATGGCAAATTTACAGTCCTTTCACAAAGTTCATGATTTTGTGCCTCCTTTGGAATTTGTACATTTTTTTCTATACCGTCCATGAATTTATTTTGTTACAGAGATTTAATAACTGGTCTGGGAAATTGGGAGGCCAGTTCCCATTCAAAACACTCCAGAGCGATTTTTTTTTTTTCTAAAAAAAAATCTGCGATGCTGGAAGTGTAAAATCGAGGATGTGACCGTTCTGTCTGTCCCGCTGGTTTTCTCAGCAAGAGCAGAACATCAGGCCGCAGTACTTCACCTTCCGCTGGCTGACCCTGCTGCTCTCCCAGGAGTTCCTGCTGCCCGACGTCATCCGCATCTGGGACACCCTCTTCTCCGACAAGGACCGCTTCGGCTTCCTCACCCTGGTCTGCTGCGCCATGCTCATGTGAGCCCCACTCTCCGCCTGTTTCGGGGATCAGCCGTTGCCGATTCGGTTCCTCAGGTGTCCGAGCGGGGTTCGGAAGGAGGTGTGATCTTACCTGCTCTTCTGCTAGTGTGCAGTCTTTTGGGTTGTGATGGTGATGTGGGTGCGAGAGAGAGGCGTGGTGTGTTGTGGCTCGAGTCTCATGGCTTCTTCATTCCTCATTCCAGTCTCATCCGGGACCAGCTGCTAACGGGAGACTTTACAGTGAACATGAGGTTGCTGCAGGTAATGAAGTTACACGTGTCGGTCCGCAACAGATTTTTAAGGCACTGACATGTTTTACTCAATGTGCAGATCAAATGTACATAAATACCTGGGTTTTGGTAAAGGACGGGAGATGCGTGGGAGATAAAAGCGTGTTGGCTAAAGAGTTCATGTGTGGGGGTGTAGTGGCTGCAGTTCTCGAGACTGAAATTGTCTTTGTGTCTGAAGGACTACCCCATCTCCGACGTCCACACCATTTTGAAGAAGGCCAAGGAGCTGCAGGACGGGGCATAGCCAAGGCCTCCTACATTCCCCTGGCCCCTGGGGGTCCACAGGGGGCCCCTGGGGCCCCGCGATCAGGTGACAACACTCGAGGAGGGCAGCTCTGCGCTGCTGTGCATTGTGGGGACCCCCTCCCAGGCCCGCTCGCACCTCTGCCCCTCCCTCACACCGAGATGCTATTCCTTTCACACTCTTTATTTTGCACTGAGGACTTGAAACCAAAAAAAAAAAACCACACAGAAAAGTCAGAAGTAACAGCTGGACACAATACGTCTGAGAACACTTCCAGGCGGGTATTTTCTAATGGTTAACAGGGTTAATCTGTGCTGTTCTTTTACCAGGGCTGAGGTTTTAACATCTAAATGTTGTTATTTTTTTAGCGTTAATAAAGTCATTCGTGTATTGTTTTTAAAATATTTTTGCAAAATTGATAAGGCGTTCCAGCTGGCAAGGTGTAGACAGCTAGCAATAAAGCCTTACACCCAGGTGGTTATCATGGCCTGTTTGTGCCCTGCCTGTGCTGCAGGAGGAATGAAATCCCCCTTTAGTCTCGGGCTCCTCTGTGTTATCAGAAGACCTGGAGTCAGCACTCACACTTTGCAGTGTGCCACAAGTAATGCCACTTACGGTCTTTATAGATCTGAACCCTGCCTGTTCTGTGTACTCAGTTGTGTTTTTATTTTTTGTCTGTCTTAGTTATGTAGTGCACGTGTGTGAGAGTTTGTTCATTTGTCTTCGTTTCTGAGCTCAGCCTTGAGGCTTTTGTCTGTGTGTCTTTGCTCCTCCTGGCAGAGCTGAGACCCGGACTCCTGTGTGGAGATAGTCTTCAGTCCTGCAGGACAGGCTGAGATGTTTTGCAGAGGCGTAGAGTTCCCCTAGCCCTTGTAGGTGGCCTTACTAAGTTACTGAGCTCCCCCTAGTGGTGGAGAGAGAGAGAGAGAGAGACAGAGCGTTTTAATATTTAAAAAAACAGCTGCAGTCAGAGCTGAATGGTCTGCATACAGTTTGCTGTGTTTCTCCCACAGACATATCTGCGAGACATTTTTCACAAAGCTTTGGCAACTGAGGTCTTGCTCCTAGATGCCAAAGCTTTATGATTACACTGTTGAAGAATGTAACTGCCCACCTAAACAACTGCTTTTTTTAGGTGTTCAGAAGCTGCAGCCTTAGTTACGGATTCAATACATTGCAGTAATTCATGAAATTCAGGGAAATTAAAGGCTTCTTCTTTGTCTTATAAACATTCATTTGCTCACAGCTAACCGAGCAGTCTCTTTCCTGAATAAAAGTAGCCATTCAGCTTCTGCATTGCATTGTATCTAGAAACAATGAAAGCTTTTGTCCTTCAAGGACTAACAGTATATGACACTAGTTGCAGGGGCTGAAACATTTGCATTTGCAATGCTTTTGAGGCCAGTATGTTTTAATACACTTGCAGCCAAAGTAGTCATAGTTTCCAAAACCAGTTACATGTGATTCTGTACTTTAGTAAAGGAAACATGTTAAAAATGACTTTTTACCCTCTGCCTCTCCTAACGGAGTTCTTTGATCTTGCATATACCTGGTGACTTTTTTGTTGTTGCATTTGCGGACGTTTGTATCTTCCATGTATCACTAACAAAGTGATCTGGCAAAAAATTGTTTTCGAACAAGGCTGCTGAAAGAGCAGCACCAGGAAGTGTACAAGGGACACAAATCAGTGTTGGGCTTCACGTACGAAAGTGTCGCACTGATTTTCATCTCCTCCGTCTGTTAAAAAGATTTAGAGAAAAAGTTAAAATACTGTTTAACGTAACAGACGTAGTGGTGGGGAGTCTACACAGAATCCTGCGAACGTGATTTAAGATATCTGGTAAGGGAGGAATTTAATTGAGGAATGTACACTCCTGCTATCTAGGGGGATGAAATCGGACTTCAGCTGCTGCTTTGCCACTCCATTGGTCTGAAAGAGATGTCATAGCTGTGAACTTGTCATGCATGTGTTTCTCCTGGAGATCTGAGAAAGTGTCGTCTTTTGTAGGTTTTGAGGCTTTGGGTGAATTGGTAGACGTCAGTAAGGTTGCACAAAATAAAACTGCATTGAGTCGATAAATTGCTTATGTGTTAGTTAGTTTAGTAGACAGTGAGAGGAAAGAAAAAACAAGGTATATTATTTTACTGTACTAGTGTTATCGTCATTGTCACCATCATCCTCTTCATCATTGTTATTATTTCTACTACTACTCTGATTTTTAAAACGGCGTGCTACTGTGATTTGTTTATCTGACCTAAAGTTTGGTATGGGAGTTTGGTGGTTCAGCATATAATTGGAAAACTATTTTCCTTGTTCTAAACCTCCTGGTTTCTCATGGGTTTATTTTTTGATAAATTAACACGGTCCAGTTATCACAGCTGGTCAGGACTGACCTGCCTTAACAAAATACAGTCACAATGTGACCAGACAAAGCAATTGAGAAATTCCAGCTTGTGCAGCTGTCCTGGCGACGTGTCAGAATATTTATTTGGTATTTCAAAGATAGCAAAGTCACCAGAGAGGTGGAAGCCTTAGTTATCACTTGTGTGTTACTTTGGTCGGCCACTGCATGCAGTTTGAGAACAATCTAAAATGCTCATGTTATACAGCTGTTTTTCAATAATCCGCAATTCACACCTTGTGCAGCTTCTTGTCCACAATCTGAAATCCTCATGTTGTACAGGTATTTTTTTGACAAATCTGAAATCTACACCTTGTACAGCGTTCGGAGCTCAAATCCCATAACAGGAGTCAGATTGAGAAGTCGGCCTTTTTAGTTTTTTCATTGCAACGTAGAATGCCTTCTTGTTTATCACCCCTGCTGAGGCAGTTCACTGATGTCAGTCTCCTGCCAGGCCAGTCCAGACCAGTCCAGGCCAGGCCAGACCAGCAGCTCCATTCAGCAGTTGTTGTTTCCTGTGGTCTGTAGTCACTCTGCTCCAGGACACACCTCCGCCACTGTGTGGTAGTGTTTGACGTTTCTTCGTCCTTGTGTGTCCTACTCCGGAGATGTCTGAATTTTCTGAGGGCAAATCAGGCTCAAGTAAGGATCTTACCATTCAGCTGTGGTTGTGGTACTACACATTTTGACAGGTTTAAGCTAGATGTTAAACCTAGTTATCAGCCTTTAAATTGTTTAAGTCGAATGGATCAGTTTTCAAAAACCTGCGCTAAAGTGTAAGAGACTTCAATCCACTACAGACGATCAGTTATACATCGAAGCGAAACGCACAAGCTTTGATTACATTGTTCCCTAACAATTGTCTTATAATTGCGATGATTTTATTCAGTAATTAGTGAACCCATCTGCAACTGTACTACAAAGCGGTGAAGATTGTGCCTTGTAAATCATTAATGCAGTCAGGGCATAAGAATGCTTTCTTAAGCTATAATCAGCCAGAACCAGAACTGTCTTATTTTTTTGGATGCATGTCTTTGTATTACATATTTGTTATTATAGCTTCTTTAGATAATTCGTCATAAGTGTAATCCCTTGTCA